AATGTGTGAGCTGAAATTATCATCGAGGTCCAAGTCTAAGCCTGATGAGGGCATTAACTTCACCTACGCAGGGTATGGCTGCAGATGTAGAGCAGTTTATGAAGCCTGCCTGTTGGGAATGCAATAAAACAGGACATAAGGTTTGGACAAAAAAAAAAAAAAAAAAACAAAAAACCCCCAGTTTTTTAAAAAAGAAATTCTTTTATCCTCTCCAATTATAAAGCTCATCTTCACCATCACTTTCCTCGTTTGGCCAAGTTTTCGAATTATTTTCCCCCTGCTCTCTTTCTGTTAAGTGAGCATCTAGCTTATGAATATGTTGTTTTTAAAACACAGGAGTAAAAAAGGTTATCAGTTCATTGTTTAGTATAAAAACAGTATTATACAGTACTCTTGTCTGGATGTTGGCCATCCACAATTCAAACACTGATTAATTTCACTATCCATACTATCATCATTATTCCATAATATTAGGGGAAGCACATTCCTTGAAGAATCACCTTGAACTCTTTCTCTCTCTCTATAAGCCATCGTTATTTATTTTTATATCTTATTTCCTCTTCCTCATTACCATCTAGAATAGTATTTTCTTGCAATTGATTATGTAAGGGAACACCCAAGGAATTGGCTTGCAAATACTCTGTAAACTAAAATGGGCACCTGCTCAATATTTCTTAAGTGCAGATTCCTGAAATCTCACCATACATACGTGCAATATGCAATAGTACCTTTTTTTTCCCCCTCATTTTTGTGGATCTTACAATCTTTTTGAATTAACTGCTGTTTTGCTACCTTGACATATTATGTCAAGAGTATTATGGAGTACTGTACCACAGCAGGATATTTGGATACATATGTTGTACTCATTAGGGAAGTCAACCTAGGCATAGTTTTTGTCATAACAGATACATGTACTTCAATGCCAAGAGACAAGCCAAGTTGCTGCATATTACAGTTTCCAACTTGTTACCTAGATTTTTCTCAGCTTGAGCCAGAAAGATATCACTGCCTGTGATTGGTTCCTAGATCTGTGGCTCTTTCCCAAAACAGAGCACCCTCTATATTCACTATACTCAGTAAGAAATTACGCAACCAGCATCTTTCAAATTTAACCTCTTGGACAAAGATCTGAGAGTTCAGACTTTTCAGATGTTTCCTCTCACTTTTCAATTAATAGGGTAGAAAGAGGAATAACGTAAGAGATGGGTAGGAGAAAATATTCCACAAAGACAGGACAGATTTCACCTTCTCTGAATGAGATTAAAATGCAAAAGGAACTAGAAAAGGAACTGAAAAAGATGAATTTTTAATACTTCTCCATACAGTAGAACTTCTAACAGGAGCTGTTACTGTAAAGAAGAAAAATACCTACACTTGGGAATGTTGTGACATGCATGTATTTCCTGCACTGTAAACCATTCTCCCAGGCAGTAACAATAATACTGAGTGATCTGTGCCATCTTGTTATTTGGTAAGCAGCAGCTGGTTAATATTGTAGGTTGTGCACAGACATCAAGATGATGGGGTACTTCTATTTTCCCTCTTGTTTGGTGCTCATGCAGTGAGGGACTTCAATGTGTCTCTGAAACAAAATGTAGGTCTTTATTAGATGCCACTACACATCAGCAGCAGCTTATTCAACCAATTGCATTATCACCCAGTGGCAACACCACACACACTTGCTCTCTACACAACACTGAGCCTCCCTCTAGATCAGAGCCTGACTCCCCCATGTACTCCATATCAGCACTCTTTGGAAAGAGCTTTCTAGTATAATTAGCACTTTGTAACAAATACAAAAGGAAAGGAAATACAAGATACACACTTCCTTCTTTGGCAAAGAAATCATCTGGACATTATTTACACATACCTGATCCAAGAAACACCCTTGCTTATTGGTCACCTCCATTCTTAAACCTTGGAAAACAGGACACTAAAGATGAGCAAAACCCCATTTTAAAGTCTTATTTATACAATATCTCTGACTTTAATCCAGTTCAGTAATTGTGATTTAATTTAAAACAGTTCAGCCAGTTTGGGGTTCAGCTATACTACCACCATAGTGCTTACAACATGGCAGTTTCAGCCCTCTTCTCAGGGGCAGGACCAAACTGGTCTAGGGTTCAACTGCACTGCAGCTGTATTTGACCATGCCTCCAGTACAGATTGCCATCTCAGGGAGTGGGGAAGAGTGGCACAAGACAGACATATTACAATCTGCTTTGATGAGAAAGGTTCAGACCAGTCCCCAACTAAATCACCAGTGAGTCACAATCAAACATAACTGAGAACTGAATTTAACACCCTGTCTCTGTGGGGTATAGCGCTTCATAAGCTTGTTGCAGAATGGCTACATCTTCACAGTCAGATTTATGGTATGTTTTTAACACTTGTGTTATTACATACAATTCCTGCCCCAGTCCAAATTAGCATTTAATGTCCCTCTCCCCCCAGTTATTAAATATAAATTCATCATCTTTTCAGCAAGGCCAAAGGAGTAAAGTCTGTTGGCAATGTATCATCTATGAAAATAGTTAGTCTTATAATTAGCAGGGAATGCAAAAGACTGTTTTTCTTTTCATTTGACTAGTCTGTGCCCAGTACTGCAGTACAGGAAGGTACAAACTGTATCTGTTTAAGTGTAAAAAATATATACAACTATATTTAACATTTAAATTAAACACAACTGTTCATACCAACAATCTTATGTACATTCAGTTTTAAACAATACCTCTTTAATATCCTCCTCTTTTGTTAAACAAGTTTTATTTTCCTCCCAAAATACCCAATGATACTTTAAAATTCTGGAGGGGGGAAAATATGAGCTATATAGAAAATAGCAAGATGTCTTACAATTGTAACATATCATACAACATATCTTTCATAAACAACACATCATTCAAAATCTGAACTGCTGTAAAACTTCTCGTAAGTCCAACAGGACTGCCTTTAAAAACTTACTTTGGTTAACAGCAAATCATTCTTAAACAATTAAGGAAAAATATATATTCTTTTACCACCTCTACAGATGTGTTTCCTTGGTATGTTGTAGCAATCCATATATCTTTATGGATAAGCACTGCAGTTGCTCAGTGCTCTTCACTTGTGATTTCAGTAAAATGGATTATATATCAGGTTGGATTGATTTATAGTTAAATTAGTCCAACTTCCTAAGATCTCTGGATAAGAGAACTCTTTTCCTAAGACTTCCTATCATCTCTGGATATCAGAAAAAGAATGGCAACACTACTACTTTTTCCTCACAAGGTTGACCTCATGCAGTACATGCAACAGCATTGCTAAGTTGCATGAAGCTACTGTTTTCCTGCTTATCTTTCCTGGTCAGGAGAATAACATGACTTTTGCTGAGCCCTACATACCCTGACACCCAGCCAGTCGCACCAGCCCCTGAGCATTCAGACAACTGAAGTGCCACTGGACTTTACAGTAATGCAATGATTTCCTCTGAGTCATTATGCATGTTTCAGGCCATGCGTGGCCTCTGTATCACTGAAATTTTATTCATTTCCAGTGGAATAAATGCCCTCAGCTTTTGGCCAGGAAGAGGAACTTGATCTTTATCTTTCTTCCCTCCTTGCACTATGAAACCCTCCGATCCATCAAAAATCACCAATGAAAAGGCAAAAATGTAAGATTCTCCAGGAAAAGAACACCACATTAGTCACTATGCATCAGTTAAGCTGAAAAATAGAGAAGTCTGACCGATGAGCAAAGGCACTTGGTAACAGTCCTGTGAACAATAGTCAATGAGTCAACAGTTTCAGTCTTGTGATCCAACTGACCAGCAGTGAGGGCTCTGCAGAGGAAGATTTTGTGGACGGTGTGACAGAAGATTTTTTAGCACCTTCCTCTTGAAAAGGAATTGTTGCACTGTTGTGGAGGTCTGTATTCATAAAACATCTGCTGCCTCGAATATAATCTGTTCCCCTCACTAACTGCTTGTCAGACACTGGCCTTGAGAGAGGGTGTTGTGTGGAGGAGCTTTCTTCAATGATTGGGGGTATCCTTTCATTACTGAAGTACCTGCAGAGGACATCTTCACCTGTATGAACAGGAGGAGGAAAACCAATTACTGCTAACTTCAATACCCTCCATTAACAGAACAGCCAACACAAAACCAAAAGCAAAATCAACCAAATAAAAAACAAACCAAAAACACCAACAAAAACTGTACACACAAAACCCAGCCCTGCCATCTGGTGATCATTCTGTTAGACTTCTTACTTAGCTTGCTTCTAATATCCCTCCAAGTTGATGCTTCTTGTTATCAGCTTCTATATTCCCTAGATTTACACATTAGCTTTCCATAAAAGATTTCAAGAATAAACTACTCTTCCTTTCTTGTTTCCCACTCTAACAGGACTTGTAGCCTTTCAGGTGCAAAAGGAAGCCAAGGAGGGAAGGGAAGTATGGCAATGAAAAAAGCCACCCAAACTAACACCCAATGTTATGAGCTTCGGTCTCCCATTCTGTGACATCTTCAAAATATGTTGATTTCTAACAGCAGCTGCAGCAAAAAGCAATTCCTAAACATTTCACTTTTGAGAACAAGCTTGCTTCCACAACAGTCACCACAGTGAGCTAAATAAACAGAAAGACTTAACAGAACAGTTTTATGATCAATATCAAATGCAGAAGAAAGGGAAAAGAGTGTGTATAAGAGCAAAATGGTAAACCTGTGCTATAAAGAGACAAGTACAAATCTTCCCTAGTCATTTTAGCATTCTTTTAATGCTCACAAGAACATTAAGACAGGACAACAAAAGCTTGAGCCCCAGCACTGAATAGCCTCACAAATTTCACA